TTCCATGATGTTGTATTGCACTCATTGATCTACCAGTTATGTTGAATGATTTCTCTTTTAATATCAATTACTCACAAATACTTCATATATTTCAATCATACAAACAACTGCTCATTCAATGTGTGACGGGCGTATTATATACCGCTCGCGGTAACCTTGTTTGGACAGCTATGCCATTATTCCAGGTAGACATCTGTAAATAGATGATCAAGGTATCTTTCATTGTTTGATATTCTAGGTCTGCTGGTTTTCTTCGGGCTGTTTGCTGTGAAGTATGGAGCAGGGAATCTTGTGAATACTGTGGATAGTATTCAACCCAAGTAAGTGTCACACTTACGCTTGTGACAATTAACCTGTTTCCGTAAAACAGGGTATGTGAAACAACCGTTGTTAGAAGCTTCATCATTGATATTATTCTTTAAGATTCTTGACGATCTGTTTCTATAAGATGTTTTACAATTGACCAAGGGCCTGGTCATTGATTTGACTTTGCCAAAAATTGCTGTAAGATGATTTACTATTAATCTGTTTCTGTAGGATGTTTGACTGTTGATCTGTTTCTGTAGGATGCTTGAACGTTGATCTATCTCTGTAATATGTTTGACCATATTGATCTAACTCGGTAAGATGATTTACTTTTAATCTGTTTCTGTAGGATGTTTTACTGTTGATCTGTTTCTGTAGGATGCTTGACCATTGATCTAACTCGGTAAGATGATTTACTTTTAAGCTGTTTGTGTAGGTTGTTTGACCAATAATCTGTTTCTGTAGGATGTTTGGGATGGTAGTGGAGCGGTTATATCTACAAGATCTACAGAAAGTATCGGGACATATTGAGAGGAAGATCTGTGCCGTAGGAGTGTCTAATGTGCTCACAGAATCCCCAGCCATGTTACAGTCCTACGATACGTTATGGTAAGTTAACTGTGACACAAAATACATTATGGTTATAATCCCTTAACAACGAAAGTTCGAGGGGATATAGGATTCAGTCTGTACATGTTAGACTCTTTGTCATCGCTCTAGCAACTTCATTTTTTCAACAGAATTTCATGAAACTTCATACAAGTGTTTAGTATGGCAATGCCTTGAACATGTTCGTGTATCTACGTTGAAGGTCAAGGTCACTGTTAAAAAAATAGAAAAAAACTTTGTCATCGCTCTAGTGACTTCATTCCTCAATGGAATTTCATGAAACTTCATACAAATGTTTGGTATGGTGATGCCTTGAACAAGTTCTCATTTCGAGTTTCTACGTTGAAGGTCAGTAATCACAGTTTAACACAAATAGAGTGTACCTGTCATTTCTCTGACACCAAATACAATTATATTATAATTATGATTACCAGTGTGAGATTTCTGTGTCTTTAGATAAATTGCTGACAATCCTTTGCCTTGTTATTATTTCATTAACAATGTGAATATATTAAATAGATTGGACAGAAGATTAGACCCTGTATAAGTTACTTCCATCCTGTAATAACAATAATGAGTGTAGTCTCAGCTTGGTATTGTAATACTTCATGAACTGTAATGAACATCTGAGGCCCTTGGGTCAAATGATCTTTGTCATTTACTGAATCCTATTTTGATTTAAAAAATACATTTTGGGATTTTTCATAAAAGCTATTCTGATATGTAGTTGATGTGAATTTTTTTTATCATTCAAACTACAATATATTAATGCTTGACCTTGACTTTGCAGGGGCCGCCTTCTTCAAGCTTTGATCAGCCTGTTTGAATTACCGGAAGACGAGTCTGTCCCCGACGATGAACATTTTATCGAGATTGAAGACACTCCTGGTTAGTTATATATTTTCACATACCGGTTACAAATATTGAACTTTTGAAGATTACAGTAATTGATGAGTAGGTTGCCACAGTGGATGCCTATAATAATGCTATTGATTTTGGGTGTGGTTTGCCAACTTAGTGTAGCTTGTAAATGGATGATTGTACAGTATAACCTGTCTAAATCGGCCCCTGTCCAATCTGGATCCCTGTCTAAACCGGTTGTGATTTGTGGTCCCGACATATTCCCTAAATAATCATAGTAGTTAAACCCTGTATAAACCGGACCCTGTCCATTTTGAAAACCGGCGTTGGTTCACAAAATTTGGCATAGTAATCTATGTAAAAACAACCTGTTCATTCCGGTCCTGAAATGTCTCTCGGCAGACTACAATCTAAGGCAAACACATTCTAAACAAATTAGCGCTATCCAATGTTAGGTCGCCCTTCATTTTTATCATAAACTTTATATTTTATTACCATATTTGAATGCAAATAAGCCCCCTCCCCACTTTGGCAAATATCCTGGGAACGCTTTCTGTATTTTTAAAAATGACCAGGGCCCATTTTGTAGGTCTTAAAAATGTGAAATGTGTTGGCCAACACTCATCAACACAGTGGTTGATGTAGGTCTTGTTCTGGATCACACATTATTATTGACAGCTTTATGAAACACAGCTTTTTATCTATAAAAATAGCAAACAGAAAAATATGGAGAAACGAAATTTCATGAATTTTTTACACTAGCCATATGTTATAATGTAGGTTTGTTATTTATCTTTTGTAGAACATTTATTTTTGTGTGAATATGTAAAAAGTTAATATTTATAAATATACAAATCTATTGCAATTTTCAGAGATACTTATTCTAGGTGTAGATCATCAGTATTGATCAAATGTTGTTGTGAGTAATAAACAAAATACCATTATTATGGTCCCTTTCCAATAGCAAGAATTGTCACTATCAGTATATATATTGACTTTTGTTGCCAGGTTACCAGACAGCCTACTCACAGTTAGCATTTGCTGGTAAGAAAGAGAGAGACCCACTGGGTGACGTTCCTGATGCTAAACTACACCTTGCTAAACAACTTGGCAAACTGTCCGCTGCTCACCCAGGCAAGGTATGGCACTCCTAGTATTGCTACAGATCTACTCATACTAGGGCCTGTGTTATATCAAATGTAAAGCTCACCCAGGCGAGGTATGGCACTCCTAGTATTGCTACAGATCTCCTCACACTAGGGCCTGTGTTGTATCAAATGTAAAGCTCACCCAGGCAAGGTATGTCACTCCTAGGATTGCTACAGATCTACTCACACTAGGGCCTGTGTTATAACAAATGTAAAGCTCACCCAGGCAAGGTATGGCACTCCTAGTATTGCTACAGAACTCCTCACACTAGGGCCTGTGTTATATCAAATGTAAAGCTGACCCAGGCAAGGTATGGCACTCCTGGTATTGCTACAGATCTCTTCACACTAGGGCCAGTGTTATATCAAATGTAAAGCTGACCCAGGCAAGGTATGGCACTCCTGGTATTGCTACAGATCTCTTCACACTAGGGCCAGTGTTATATCAAATGTAAAGCTGACCCAGGCAAGGTATGGCACTCCTAGTATTGCTACAGATCTCTTGACACTAGGGCCAGTGTTATATCAAATGTAAAGCTGACCCAGGCAAGGTATGGCACTCCTAGTATTGCTACAGAACTCCTCACACTAGGGCCTGTGTTATATCAAATGTAAAGCTGACCCAGGCAAGGTATGGCACTCCTAGTATTGCTACAGAACTCCTCACACTAGGGCCTGTGTTATATCAAATGTAAAGCTGACCCAGGCAAGGTATGGCACTCCTGGTATTGCTACAGATCTCTTCACACTAGGGCCAGTGTTATATCAAATGTAAAGCTGACCCAGGCAAGGTATGGCACTCCTGGTATTGCTACAGATCTCTTCACACTAGGGCCAGTGTTATATCAAATGTAAAGCTGACCCAGGCAAGGTATGGCACTCCTGGTATTGCTACAGATCTCTTCACACTAGGGCCAGTGTTATATCAAATGTAAAGCTGACCCAGGCAAGGTATGGCACTCCTGGTATTGCTACAGATCTCTTCACACTAGGGCCAGTGTTATATCAAATGTAAAGCTGACCCAGGCAAGGTATGGCACTCCTAGTATTGCTACAGATCTACTCACACTAGGGCCAGTGTTATATCAAATGTAAAGCTGACCCAGGCAAGGTATGGCACTCCTAGTATTGCTACAGATCTCTTCACACTAGGGCCAGTGTTATATCAAATGTAAAGCTCACCCAGGATTTATTGTGTAATTGATTTAAACTATTCAGACAAAAGATGTTTGAGACCATTTTGAAGGTCACGTAAGTGAAGCAAGTTTGCTAATGCCATTGAAGAACATGTGAGCAATACAGGGCCATTAGGCCTCTTGTTAATCATTGCAATGTGTGGAGAACAATTTCAAAATAATTCTAACTATTCCTTTTTCTATTAAACATAATAAAGTTGAGTCCTTGAACAATACTTTAAAACAACTATTCTTTTCCTGGTTTAGGTGCCTGTTCTGATCAGCTCTGCTCTAGAACAGCAAGCGCAGGCCTTCTTACAGCAGTACCTGACAGCTGCCGGAGTTCAACTCGGATGACAAGAATGCCACTAGGTGTCTCCTCCGATGATCGTCTCCATGACAGCATCTGTGACGCCAATTCTGTTGTCATCATGTGATCCACAAATATACGTCTCCATAATAACACCCTTCCAAGTTAAAAACGGGGACTCATGATATTCTGTAAAGTGAATTTAATTTACTTAGTGACAAGGTATGGAAACATGGTTCTATTGTGTATGTAAAGATGGTAGATATAAGTCTATTTATTGGAGTCTTTAACACTTTATTTGGTCACTTGTTTATGGTCAGCTACGTACATAGCTATTGCTCTAAAAAAAGTGTTGACAAAATCTGGCGACAATAATTGGAAAAAAATCTTGTCGTTAAACTGGGAGAGAAGTTGGGGTTGGAGGGGCAGGAACTTACACCTCAATATCAATGAATTAATTTCTTGACTTGACTAAGTGCTTTATGCTTTATGCTAACAAATCTCCATCTTGATATATCAGAGGTACATTGGATAAAGACTTTGTGTTTGGTGACCCATCAGAATTTTGAAGCCTGTGATTATATGGTCAATTTTAACAGCCACCATATGTGTCCATCAATATTAGTGCTGACATGCTGTGGTTCATCAGTACCATTTTATATGTGATAAATACAATGTACAGAAAACGTGCTATGGGTAGGAATTATTGGTCGTCTGAATTGACTTTCCTACAAAAGTACTGCTCTAAATGATTAATATTCTTGTCCAACCAAGACCGAATGGTCTCTAATTGAACAGCATTCAGGAGACTTTTGCTGTATTTCAACCTAAAAAACTAAGTGCTGTGTCTTTGTACTGGAAGTTTTGATGCTTTACAATCCACCGTTTTCCACTTCAACTTGTTTTGTTTTCCTACAGAGAGTTGTGATGTAAAGAAACCAGGTATTGAACCTTAGTATTGTAGAATCTCTATAGTCCTGATTTCTTTATCATTGTACGAGATGTTTCTATTTCAATTCATACCTACGAAGTAATGTAGCATCAACATTGGAGAGCTTTCTGGTAAATGTGCAATTTTAGTAAAAGGGATTCGTAGTGTATGGCATTGTTGTATATTTTAAAGCTACTTTCACAGTAACAAAGCAAGTTTTGTCAAAAACAAATGTGTTGTTCACTTTTGTGTACAAAATTGCATGATGGAAATAAACAATATTATTGTTTCAAAATGTTTTTAATTTTGTTTCTGCTGACCTCTGCTGATTATGTTGTTACTTCTCTGCTGATTATGTTGTTACTTCTCTGCTGATTATGTTGTTACTTCTCTGCTGATTATGTTGTTACTTCTCTGCTGATTATGTTGTTTCTATTTGGACTGCTGGCTTAAGTGTATATGATTGTTTTTAGCTTTCCTGGCCCCGACAGGCCAAGTGAGCTTATGCCGTGGTGAGGCGTCTGTCAGTCTTGCATCAACTTTTTTTCTTTATCTAACCTATCCACAATAACCAAAAGGCCAAGGGTGATAATATTTGGCCAGAAGCATACTAGGATGCCACCGAGTTTGTTCAAATGAATGGCCTTCACCCATATTCAAGGTCACAGGGTTCAAATATGCATCAATCTTTAAATGACTTACTCTTGATTACCAAAAGGAGCAGGGCGGCGATATTTAGCCAGTAGCATGCTGGGATGAAGGGTTACCAAGTTTGTTCAAATGAATGACCTTTACCCATATTCAAGGTCATGGAGTAAATGAGTTCTTCTGAATATCCAAAAAGTCAAGGGTGATGACATTTGGCCAGAAGCATGCTGGGATAAAGGGCTACCATGTTTGTTCAAAAAATGAGCTTCGCCCATATTCAAAATCCAAGATGGTTGCATGTCAGCCATTTTGTTAATTTGATCAGTCTCAAAAATAAACATACACAACTACAGATCAAAGAAAGCTTACGTATTAAATTTGAGAAAGATTCCTGAAGTACATTCTGAGAAAGTGATAACAACTGTTGAAATCCACGTCCACCATGTTTATCCGATCATTCTTAAAAGTTAACATACACAACTAAAGATCAAAGGGAACCTAACATATTAAATTTGAGAAATATCCTTTCAGTACTTCCTGAGAAATAGTGATAACAAACTTTCACTATCAAAAATCCAAGATGGCCATCTGATGGTTCTCAAAAGTAAATATGCACAACTAGGGATGAAGGGGAATTAACATATAAAATTTGAGAAAGATCCTCCTGTACTTTCTTAGATATGGCATAACAAACTTTAACTGACAAAATTAAAGATGTCGGCCATTTTGTTTATTCAATCATACTCCGGTCTCTAAAGTAAATATGCACAACTAGGGACCAAGGGGAACTTACATTTCAAATTTGAAAAGAGAAATGGCGATAACAAAAATTGTTTAAGGATGGGAGAGAAAACAAACTGATGATGGGCTAAAAATGTACCCCCTTCTCTAAAAATTCAAAATAAACCAAAATCGGAAATGAATGGAATCGGTCAAGCTGATGAAAAAGAAAGGAAAATGCTGATTTATTTCGGCATCCAACAAAAGTAATTGAAGTGGTTGTTTTTTTGCCAGAGCATGAAATCTCAAAATGACCCCATTCATTTTCACATGGGAGTATAGAACCCTGGATGCCTTGGTGAAAGGCGAGTGCGTTATCCACTGTGACACCTGACCACCCAACTGGAACCACACTGTAGAGAAAAAAGTGACCCAAGTTTATGCATGGATTTTGATGCAACTTAACACAAGTTATACTTCAAATGAACTTGTCACCAAGAACGCCATTAGGTTCCTTTAATATTTACCAGAGTTATAGCCCCCGACGTCTGTAGACGCTACATTACGTTAGTTACGGAAATGTCTAATTATCGAAACAGTAGGTATTTTGTATACACCTCATACATTGTAATGTAGGCATGAAAGAAAGCTACTCCTATGACAAACTTTTGAGGTAGTGGGATCAAAGGTCACAAATGAATTTGTAGGCATTTTGTATACATTGAGGTTGTGGGGTCAGAGGTCACAATTGTTTTTTTTACCAAAATTATCTTGGGGGGGGGGGGGGGGGGGGGGGAGTAGGTATTTTGTATACACATATACATTAGAGTATCATAGCCAATTATGCAGGCTATATTGTGACAAACTTCCAAAGTCAAAGGTCACAGATGCAGTATGTTACTGAAATGGTTAATTATCGTAAACAGAAATGGCAGGTATTTTGTATACACATACCTTGGGAGTAAATGTAGCATTGATTCAAGCTACATTGTGACAAAATTCTGAGGTCATTGAGTCAAAGGTCATAGTAGTGGTGTTTTTCTTTTCCATCGGTCTGTCGGTATGACATCTGAGGTTAGACTTTTTCATGACCCTTAGCCTTTTAGCCCTACAGTGGCAACAAGCAGCCGTTATGCGGGGGTATTAGTTAGCCCATAGGCAACACTTCTAGTTTGCACAGGAAAAGGTGTCGACATGAGGAAATATTTCAATATAATTATATATTTTAATTTGAGCATTTTGTCTTGACCGCCGAGTGCTTACAATATCCAAGTGACACAGACCCCTGGGCATCTTGTTAGTAACTATGACCTTGACCTTTAACAGATCACTCATGAAATCATTAGGGCTTATCCTCACCTTGGACGTCTAAGCTTTTTGTTATCATTTTGTTACACAGTTGAAATCAAGAAAACACCAGATCATGACAAACTCAGGTTGTGTAATTTTCGAATTTAATAAATAAAATTCATGCCTGCTTTAACAAATTAAGATAAAATAACAACATCTTGCTGTGATTGCTATACTGTGGTTCCTGGACAGTTGTCGTTGGACCACAGTGATGTCAGTTTTAATATGAGATGAGGCCAGTCGCTCCTCTTTCACACCCCATTCACCAACTCCTAACTCACGAACCTGTAAAACAAACAATTCCGAGGTAAACACAAAGGAAAGGTGAGCTTACAGTACAAACATTACACTGCATATTCTTAAAATCTATATCTTCGCAGTATTAAACATGATGCCACACCAGGTCTACTTACATATTTGAGAAAATAAAGACAGTTTTGAAATTCTCCTGGAGAATATGTCGGCCAGTTGTATGAGCTTTATGAACTGGCACAACCTTTTGTTATCTTAATAAGGCGACCCCTTCAGCCATTTTTAACAAGCATCCTGGGCACTAATTACAGCAAATTGTGTATATGGACTTGACCAAGGGATTTACTTACACATTAATGTAGTGCTACACCAGATCTAGTCCAGCCTCTTGATGTTGTTGATGGATACATAGTGATAGAGAACCACCAGGAGGAACAGTGTCACACCTAGGGCATTGGCAAAAATCGCTAGCTGTACGTCGGTGATCATCTGGAACATCAATTGATACAAATATATAGTCTAGATAGCAACAAAGCATCCTCAATATCCAGAAGTTACGCTCTCTGCACCCCTGGAATATGCCATAGTAAAATTGAAGGCACAAAGGTAGCTGTTTGATCGGTCTCGGGTAAAAAAACAACCTGACCTATCGCTAGGCTGATACCTGTCCTTTAAAGATAACAAAGGGGCGACATCCTACTTTAAAGTCGGTCAATTTTTACCATTATGCGACCGTGAGATTCTTTTGATGTACATCAAAGGATCAAACTAGCCTTCTTGTCTCATCAATAAGGTGCACGTGGTGCACACTGAGCCTTCAATTTTGCTATGACATATTCCAGGGGTGCAGAGAGCGTAAGTGAGCATAACCCCTGGATATCGAGGATGGCAACAAAGTTATTCTTTTCGTTTTAAGTCTAGACAGCTGTCTATTATTTTTTCTCACCTGTGCAAGTCTTGTATGTGTTGCTCTATGCCAGGAGAAGAGCCTGTAAACTTGCTCAAGCCAATATTATATACAGGAAAATAACCGGGTCATAGAAACTGGCAGATTTGTCTATTGTAAGTCATGTACTATCCTGTTTAGGGAGAACTTGTAATATTGATTTTTTTTTTTTTATCTTTCATTATTCCCTTGATGCTATTTATAATATAAACTTCATTTAAAGTATTGCAACTTATATAAATCACTCTTGCTGGCCCATATATTAGTGAGCTGGGGTCTTATTATGAGAGGAAACTGGGGTACCTAGGTGGTCAGGCAGGTTACTCCACACCCATCAGGGAATCGAACCCCGGCCACCTTGGTAAAAGGCAAGTGTGCTATCCACTGCGCCACCGACCACCCTATTTTATTTGCAGGACTGGGACAGATGACTTAGGGTGACTAGTTACTTCTGTAAGCTATAGTCTCTCTGGGTGTTATGAGTTGGATTCCTGAAGAAAGTGGGCATCACAGTATATATAAAATAGCAAAGGGACCTAACAGATCACTAGCCAACCTGTTTCCAGCTTTCAGTAAAAGCAACATTTTCAGGCAAATACTGCTTGCTCAGTACCAATTTGGGATAAATTATAAGAAATAAAAAGCTTTTTAGTGTATTTTTTTCGTTTTTTTTACCCGATAAGAACACGAGTTTCCTTGTGCTCTCAACTCAAACTGCAACATGCAGGTGGTCATGTACTCATGATCAGCCAATGACCTCGCTCGTTATTGCTGAATTTAGTGAGCATTTAGCAGGGTTATGGCTGTATGCACAATAGGTGCTCGTGTTCTGGAATATGTTATATATTTCGGTATATTGGATTCTAGAACTATATTTAGTCGTACAGTTGGTGCGATTCATTGATAAATCTGATTCGTTATGATAAAAGTGCACATTGTATCAAAATTTGCTACAACTGTTAATCATACACAAACAACGTTACAATTTTATCGTAACTAAAATAGCATACTTATTCAAGTAATGTACCTTTTCTACGCTGTGGCCGGCGAGTAACGTGTAATGTCGGGATCAGTGTATACGTGGGGCACCTTACGAGAAATCGCGAGATTTGAAACTAGACGACATCTTCCGGTTAATTTTGACCAATCAACAAAGCGATCGTAACTGACAGTTCTGTGAATGGAGTGACAAAGAAGTTGGCGGGAGCTGCTTCCAAGTTTGGTGTGTCTTTGTTTGCACGTGCTCTGACAATGAAAACAAAGTCACGATGCAAAAAAATGGATTTTTACGCAAAGCAGACACTTCAGACACAGAAGGAATAAAGTGAAAATGGTAAGTCTTTCTGATTATGCCGATGTCACGGAGCAGATTCGCCGAACAATATTGCAATACCCACGTTATTGCGTATACAAACAAGGAGGCGTGTCACATTGTTGTGGTTAGGTGTGGTAGGTACCGTAGTAAGTATTATTGTGTCGTTTAGATATATAAGTAAGGCAGTCGGGTATCATTTACAAAGTTATTGTCACATCACAGAAACTATGATGTTTATATCAGGTAAGTTTCTGCAGCAGCCGACAAGTATCATGTTTACACGGGGATCCAGTTGATCTGTTTATCCTTGTTTGGGACGCTTCCGGGTTTTCCAGCCAACAAAAGAAAACACATGTGTTGGAATGTGGTTTACTATGTGGAAGCTCTGCTTTGAAAACAACGTAAACGTGAAAGATGTGTACAAGTGCTACTTAAAATAGCGATGTGCCGTATATATATATACAAAGGTTTAATTTGAAATAGTACTACTGTTGTATACATGCAGGCATATGTTGACTGATAAAGCGCGTGCACGCACGTGTTTTTGTCCATCAACAAAGTCCTTTGTTCGGACGTGCAACAGTGCACCACACGAAGCTTTGGAAATAGTGAGAAGGTAATATTTAATGCTTTGTTTTAATATTTGTAAAAGCTGTCTACCATGTAATTATTATATATATAAATATAAAGGTACAACAATGATAATTTATAGCAGGTAAAAAAGTACCATTATAATCAATAAGGCAGAGAAATTATGTCCAATCAATTTTCAATTAGAAGTCCATGGCCTGTATTTAATTTTATATGTATGAATTGATATAGGTCTCATAAGTAATCTTGACAGTATGATCCAATATTGGCACTGGATATGAACAACCAAATGTTGGTTGGATGCGTATCACACATAGATATATATATGGCCAATATGAGCAAAAAAGAAATAACGACAGTGCAGACAAAGAAATTTGTCAAATTTTCAGGGCGATCCATGAAACAAAAAAATACTGAAGTAACTTATATTAAATATGCTGTTTTATTTGCATATCCCCACGGTTGGCTTGAAACCAAAGGCTGATTATAGTAAATAATGCATCTTGAAAATGTGAGGTCAATTGAATTAATACTAAAAATCTTCATAAATGAAATGAAAAAATCATAGTAGTTCGTGTAAACACGGCGTCAAAAATTTGACTAGAAGTTTTTTTCACGCCCTATAGAAGGTCAACTTATATATGTTAATTCATTTAAACTCTATAATATGTTTTATATTGTTGCTCTATCTTTAATTCCAACTTGTGAAAATAGCTTAAAATTGATCAATTTATCTGAGAATGTATCATGATTTCAGAACGAGAAGGCATCACTGGCAGCCATAACATTATAATGCAGAAGAAAATAGGCAAGATTGTCCTTTAAACTATATTTTTTCGAGACAGTCAATTTTAAATCTGTTCGATACTTTATACCCTATGATTTTTAGCTCACCTGGCACGAAGTGCCAAGTGAGCTTATGCCGTGGCGCGGCGTCCGTCGTCCTTCCGTCGTCCGTCCGTCATCCGTCAACTTTTCCTTTAAACAACTTCTTCTGAAGAACGGACAGGCCTAGAGTCATGATAATTGGCTGAAAGCTTCGTTGGTAGGAGCCCTACAAAGTTTGAGAACGAAAATGACCTTGACCTGTTTTCAAGGTCACAAGGGTCAAATATGTCAAAAACTTCAAACGACTTCTTCTGAAGAACTGAAAGGTATAGAATCCTTATATTTGGCTGGTGGGTTCCTGGGATAGAGACCAACAAAGTTTGAAAATGAAAATTAGTTTGACCTACTTTCAAAGTCACAGGGGTCAAATATGTCAAAAACTTCAAACGACTTCTTCTGAAGAATTAAAAGGTATAGAATCTTCATATTTGGCTGATGGCTTCCTTGGATGGAGCCCAACAAAGTTTGAGAATGAAAATTACCTTGACCTTCTTTCAAGGTCACAGGGGTCAAATGTGTCA